TTACAAAACATACAAAACATTATACTCACTTATACTCTTCTGTAGATGAGGCTGGATCATGAATGATTCGAGACGCATATGACGCATATATGTAGATCAGGGGCGCATTCCCTTCAAAAACAAACATAATCCACTGCGTGCGTCTTCAGCGGCTCAGATGTCGGGAGTAAATGACGACTGTGTTCATTATTACATCCAACAACAGAACACCTCAATTGCTTAGGAGTCATTCTTGTCTACATCTGCTCCGGCGGTGAAACAATGGCGGACTGATGACAGCTCACTCAGGGCGGGTCTAAGGTAAGACACCAGTCCAGTCTGTGCTGAAACGCTACTGTCAATCAAACTATCGTGGGAGGGGCATCTGAGATAGGCTCAATTTGAGAAAGGGGAAAACATTTAACCAGATTTTAAAAAATCAAACAAACATAAAAGTTACACTGCGGTTAGGGTTAGGTATCCCCCCCCCCAACCCATATTACACTTGTGTTGTTCCAGGTCAAAAATGACTGGCCTTATGTGCTTATATTTTTTTCATTATGCTCCTATATGTTATGAGCGAATCTTGGATTAAATCTTTTTATCAACTTGTTTTCTTTCGATTAGCACAGGTGTTGTGTTTCTTTTAGGAAATGATTGATTGTAGGCCTCATTGAATTTATGCACCTTAGTATTTGAGTAAACATTGCCAAAATTATCCACAAATAATGTTTTTTTCACTCCAAAACTGAGGTGCATAGGCTCAGATCAATGAGGCCTACGACCAATCAGTTCCTCAAAGAAATACAACACCTGTGCTAATCCAAAGAAAACTAAATTGACAAAACAACTGAATCCAAGATTTGGTGATAATATAGCAGAATGAGAGATTTACAAGCAGTTTCAAAGACTGGTAATTTTTGACCGGGAACACCAAAGTAGGTAAAAAATTCTCAGTGACAGATTACTGATATAATGTTAATAAACCAAAGTACTATAATCTGTTATAATACTGACAAACACCATAAAAACACAGGTGGTAAAGAGAAAGCAAAATGATGAATGAAAGCATCAAAGGTGAAGTGTTAAAGGTAATTCTGGGAATGTTAAATTCTGTTTTTTTTTCTCCCACTGTAACTTGTAAGATGACTTGTTATTTTTCAATAACAAAAATTGCACATTTAACAGTAATTTATTTCCCTTTAGTAACAGTAACAGTATTTTATGTTTCTGTTAGTACTGTTAACCTACAGGTTTTTACCATAACATTTTACAGTCTTTTACTTTTAAAATTACAATCATTCATGCTTTCAAAATGTTGTGAATTCAAAGCTAACATAAATAAGTGTTCATTTTGAGTCAGCAAATAGAGCATGGTCAGTCTTTCACCCCGGGCTTTCGATATTAGTAACTGCCATTGACTACTAATAAAGCAAACCAAAGCCTAAGGCTCACATGGAGGCAGTACATTTGAATCTTGTTTGCTATACCATGCAAACTGTACATTCTCGTCGGAGAGAAGAGAGGATGTGAGGTGAGACAAATAGAACATATGGTGAGTCCCAGGAGCAGTTGTTGCCTTCCTGAGTAAAGGCCCGTTCACACCAAGAACGATAACTATAAAGATAACTATATTAGCGTCCACACCAGCGGACGATATCGTCTGTTTATTCCAAGCACACGCTCGTCTGCCACTTTAAATTCTCGAGCTCCTTATAGCAGGATTGATTCTGATTGGCTGTCAATGTTTTTATCGTTCACCAGCTGGAAAATATCATTCTGAAAGTGATTCCAACAATATCGTTTCTCTGTGCCTTTATCGTTCTAGCTGTGTTATTCTTTAATATTGAGAACGATTTTTAGAACTATAGCGTTATCTTTATAGTTATCATCCTTGGTGTGAACAGGCCTTAAGACCTGGTTGAAAGGACCTTTGTAAGATCTGACATTCTCCTCAGTTTCATAAACTCCAGCCAAGCTCAAAGGGTAAACTGCATTCTGACTCCAGAGACAATAGTAAACTTGGAGTGAAGCCTTTATCCTTTTGAAATGCACTGAAACCGTTTTAAATCTGTATCCAATTTCTAGAAGCCATCATTGAGCTCAAGACACCAATGAGCTCAATATATTGATTTTCGTTGCACTAAGCTGTGCCGGAGGCCAAACGCAAGGATCGTAGAGTTGCAGCAGAAAACATTGAGCAGCCTTCTGCTGCTACAACAGAAACGGAGTGATTTGCCACAGGATAATCAAACTTGGCAGAATGAAGGTTTTGTAAAGTTTTAACATATCACAAAGTCTGGAATACCAATAAAAAAACTTATTTAACCCAAGACACACACACACACAACATGTAGATAGCTACAGGTTAAAAGTGATTTCTTCTGAAACATGAAAGTTACCACAGATTAAAAAGTCAAAGTAACTAATTAGTATGCAAAACACAATAAACAACACAACATTATCCCTCATATAACGACATCATATATCATGCTTACTTGATCTCTCTACACTGAAAAGTTGGTGAAACAGTTTTCACTCAGAAATTGCTAGTACTGTAAATTTCACAAATATTTACAAAGAAACGGCAAGTAACAATGAATTAAACGACATTTTTAAGAAGAAAGACTGAAATTATATTTTCTTGTGATCCATACACTGGTAAACTTTAATCATTTTATTTACAACTTTTAAAAAAATTAATACAAAAAATTACAGAGTAGACAAGGGGTTTTCCATCTTGTAGATGCCTGAAACAAATCTAAAATGCAGCTACATATGTTTATCTATAACGACCCAATTTTACTGTGAAAAATTAAAATGATAAATTTGTGTCAAGATATTCCTTGGAAAATATTTAGTTTCTATAACTCAAATTATTCTACCCAATAATAGTACTATGCTGTTAAATCTATTATTTATTAAAAAAAAAAAAAATGTTTTATTTTATCACATTTATTTACTGATTGATTTAGTTTATTTTTATTATTTATTTATTTATTTAAATTTTCTTGCAAACCCCAGTTTGAAACCCCCTGCTTTAAACTGTTTAATGCAGTTTCATATTCGCAGACAATACATTTAAAATTCCACATAAAAGAACATTAAGTATACCTTCATAAAGCCCTAGTGATATTATAGTCAGATGGATCAGAATATGTGTCACTAGAGTCCACCATAATCTGTCATGATGCTGGTGAGGATTGACACTAATCGGCAGATTAGCTATGCCACATAACACCTCAAGTACATCGAACACAATAATAACCACAGCAAATACAATCAACATTTACTAGACTTTTAGAAAAACAGCTGCAGCTAAATAAGGGGAGGTTAATCAACTCACGCCTACCAACATGAAAATAACCGTGCAAGCTAAACACTGGCTGTGAGACTATTATATTTAGTCATTATTAAATATATATAACAGGTAATTATGTACCGATATATCTTTAAAATACTTATGAATAAAGTTAAATTCTTAGTTAGCTACAGCTAATGCGCCCTAGCCGAACTGTTAGCCATTTAGGTTATGTGATTTCTCACCAACCTGTTTAAATTGTGTAACATTTGAATAAGTTTACTTGTACTAAAACTAGTCCAACACAATGATCAGACTGACAACGCTTAAACTAGTTAGTTTAGATGTTACAAGGAGAGCTAACTCACCTGGCCGCAGTGGTCAAAGCCAAAGTAGCTCTCGGCTAGCTACTTCTGTAATATCCCCAATAACCGTAACAGTCTCAGAATTCCAGTTTAGTATTTCCTCAAAACGATTTAATAGTGTTGGGAAAAACAAAATGTCGAGGATTAGTCCATCATTCAGTTGGTGTCTCATCTGTACGACACTGACACTCAACAAGCCCTAGCATGGTTGTGATGGGTCGGGCCGGTGTATGAGCGGTTGATAGGCAACACACGAACTGTTTCGCAGCTGGGGCGTCGTCCAAGCTCGGCCATCTCCGGATTCTTTCGGTCACACTCGGCTCCGCTTTCGAATTCTGTCGCCGACGTTCGGCTGGTGTTCGGATTTAGTCGGAATTGTTCGGAAACTTTTGTTCTTTGAAACGACTTTGCCACTTGGTGGTGGTTGTTGCGCACAAATATACATATAAAATTAGCGCGTAATTTAATTGTTTAAGTTGTGAATACAGGAGGAAAAGTCTCTTTCCACAGCTATTAATAATTTAAAGTACTTCATTGGGATGATTTTGTTTACATACATTATTGCCAAAGTATTATACACAAAACGAAAGAAGTACAAAATATTATAATAATAAATAACAATAAAATGGGTCTCAACCATAATACGTTCCACAACAGTTTAAATTGTTTAACATTTGTATAAGTTTACTTGTACTAAAACTAGTCCAACACAATGATCAGACTGACAACGCTTAAACTAGTTAGTTTAGATGTTACAAGGAGAGCTAACTCACCTGGCCGCAGTGGTCAAAGCCAAAGTAGCTCTCGGCTAGCTACTTCTGTAATATCCCCAATAACCGTAACAGTCTCAGAATTCCAGTTTAGTATTTCCTCAAAACGATTTAATAGTGTTGGGAAAAACAAAATGTCGAGGATTAGTCCATCATTCAGTTGGTGTCTCATCTGTACGACACTGACACTCAACAAGCCCTAGCATGGTTGTGATGGGTCGGGCCGGTGTATGAGCGGTTGATAGGCAACACACGAACTGTTTCGCAGCTGGGGCGTCGTCCAAGCTCGGCCATCTCCGGATTCTTTCGGTCACACTCGGCTCCGCTTTCGAATTCTGTCGCCGACGTTCGGCTGGTGTTCGGATTTAGTCGGAATTGTTCGGAAACTTTTGTTCTTTGAAACGACTTTGCCACTTGGTGGTGGTTGTTGCGCACAAATATACATATAAAATTAGCGCGTAATTTAATTGTTTAAGTTGTGAATACAGGAGGAAAAGTCTCTTTCCACAGCTATTAATAATTTAAAGTACTTCATTGGGATGATTTTGTTTACATACATTATTGCCAAAGTATTATACACAAAACGAAAGAAGTACAAAATATTATAATAATAAATAACAATAAAATGGGTCTCAACCATAATACGTTCCACAACAGGGCATGTACTGCCCTCTAGTGGCTGTGAAAACATCTCAATCCTTCGAACGTGTTCTTATTTTGTAGAGCTGTCGTATCTCGGCGTTTTCGGTCCTTTAGGAATATTTCGTTTTCATTTATATAATTTTAGTTTAACTTATAACACGCACAAATGTGAGTCACACTTTACATTAGCCTGCATGCTGCCTGATGTTTTGAATGCGCCATCACTGTCTTCACATAAACAAACTGCCAACGTTGTCGGAGACGGGCATTTTACTGTGTACCTTTTTATTACTACATAGACATAGTTTTGTATGGCATATACTATCTATAATAGACGTACTCCATGCACTCCATAGTGGAGGTCAGAGGTGTAAAGTGTGGATATCGCTGTGGCTACTGTGGAAACGCAGGAGGTAAAGCTTCATACGGTAAGTGAAGCTGCATGGTATGAAGTAAACACAAAACAAACAAGTAAATTACAACAAACAGTAACCTCACTTTCGTGTACAGTGCTTTTTTGTGCTTATGAACAAGGCAAGTTACATTTTGTATGCGTTCAAAACGGTAGTTTTGAATCATAAATGTTTTGTTGCTTTTTAGGGGGCTTTTACCACAACAGGAAACGTACAGTAAATCTTTGCTTCCAGGACCAGGTCATGTAAAACGGGGTTGCAACATGCTTTGATCTCGCCGCCATGCGGTCACGTGGTTCATGGAGCTCTCAATAGTTCCAAACAAAACTCTGCGCTGTCAGTCTGTTTGAATCGGGTGTGTCTCACACGTCCTGAAAAGTGAAGCTGCGGGCTCTTTGATCGCCCCCTGGTGGCTGGCTGCAGTACAGGTCATAAACCCCGCCCTCTCCATGTAAACGAATGGGACTTGAGTCAAAATAAAAAAATAAATAACACTTCCAATACAATTTTCCGAAAGATGGTTTTGGTCATTTAAGGTGGTTTTTATCATGCTGATATATGTTCAATTGTTCGTTTTTGTGATAAGTTTGATTTTAGCTAGTAATTTGATGCAGAAGAGATATTAACAAAAAAAGATCTAATCAACTGGTTAATGCAGTTATTATTTAAATCAAATTTATCTAAAAATAAATGTTTGGAAACTTTACTTCCTACTGTGTTACACGCGTCACACGCTTTACTTCCGCATTCCTCAGTTCATACTGAAAGCCTATGGGAGCGTTTCAACGGCTCTGGCGTTCACCTACTATGGGCGGGGTTTCAGCAAATCAGACCAATCAGAGAAGCGCACTGGGCGAACGTTACGCAGCGTAATTAATATTCACGAAGCAGGCCTTTCCAATAGTAGGGTTCTTGGCGCAGCTGAGAGAGCGTGGAAATGGCAGCGGGTGGATCGTACAGTATAGTGGAGTATTTCGGGGGAGATGGCGGCTATCGCTGCGGTTACTGTAAACATGAAAACGGCAATTTCTCACACGGTGAGTGGATATTAATCTGTTACCGATGGCTGGTGGTAAATATTCTGTGACTTGACGGAACTGTTTTGGGAAGCCGGGTTTGACCAGTCTGTTTTGACTAGCTTTCAACGGTTTCGTGAATTGGTGAGCATGATTTGTCAAATGTTGAGACGCTTAATGATATTAAAGTATTGGTTATATAGTTCCAAATGGGTTGCATATAGTAAGTACTTCATTGTGTAATCCATTATAAACAGCATGATGGTCTCATTGTCTGTGGTGTCTATGGTGGATAGTAGACCTTGTCAGCTGTCAGCCAAACGTTTCCTTTGCAACTTTAAGGATTTTTTTTTTTTTTTTTTTTTTACATAGAAGTTAAATGATTTCTTGATGTGAAGGAGTAGCAGAGGCCTGGTCATGTTTGTTCATCCCTGTCTGGACCAGTGATTCATATGTCCTTTTGCAATGGGTTTAACAGCCCAGATCATTACAGGAGCTGTGTGTTTTAACTGTATATTTATCCTTATAATAAAGTGCTTATTTTATACAATTTAGACAATCAAATACAGGTTTAAATGAGTTTATGAAATAATAAATTTACAATCTTTTAGATGGCACAGACCCCCAAATACGATTATCCTCGTGTGAGGGACCCCCATCCTAAAATTTAAAAGGCTTCTACATAGTTTCTTTTTTAAAGTCCCAATTTAAACTGTGAAAAATTAATATTTAATTATAAATGTGTCTAAAATATTATTTGGAAAATATTTAGTGTCTATTAGGGCTGTGCGATATTGAAGAAAAATGTGATACGATATGCATATTGCGATATGTACATTTGTGATATTTCGATAATTTCGATATATTGCACAGCCCTAGTGTCTATTAAGTTGTATTTTCTACTCATTATAGGGCTTTTATAGTACTGTATTTATATATTTGTTTACGTATTTATTTTAAGTTTTTATTATTAATATTACATTTAAAAAAAAATTTTTTTTATTTATTAAAGTATTACTTATTATTTTTTATTTGTCTTTACATTTAACATTTTCCACAGACCCCCTAGTTTTCCCTTGCATCCTCCTTGCAGTTTGAAAACCCCTGTACTATAGAGTTACTATATTACAGTTTAAACAGAAATCTGGTCAGTTTTAGAACATGTGCCAGATGTACCAGTTTTCGTAGTTCCTAATTCCATAATAGTGAAAAATGGTCCAGGGAATTGCAAGTTTGATGGTCTATGATGGCCATGGAAATAAGTGGTTTTATGTACTCTGTTTTTTTTTTTTTACTGCAGCCACCAGATAATTCTCATTGAAATGTTTCTAGATTCACATTTATAATGATGATAAGTAACTACTGTTAATTGTCTTTATATTGATATTTTCCTTGCCTGTATATTGATATTATCGATACATTGCTTGTCATGTCTGACAGTCGGATTGTGTGTGTGAGTGAGCTGGTGTTGATTCTTGTTGTTCTATGTATAGCGTAATTTTTAAGTGGATGCTGAATTTTTTTTTGTATTGGGAAAGAAATATATGTTTTAGGTATAGCATAAATTTAAATAGTTTAGAGCATGTATTCATTATGTATAGATTATTTCTTTTATATTTTTAGGGTGACAGTTTTACCATCAGTCCAGGGACTGCAGATGTAAAATAGCCTTCTGGCTAATTCTGGCACATTGTACATTTATGTATAATTGATGTGCATTTTCCCTGTCAAATAAACCTGAATAATAATAATAATGATGCTGATGCTGACAGCTCGCTGTAGAAATGGTGCTAAAAGTGGCGACGTAAGAAGATGAACAAGGATTGCGAGGCTGTAATAGTGGGAAAGTTAGGTATAAATAGGGGGGCAAGCTTGTCTGTGAATGAACGTGCTGGAGATAATCTGCTCCATGCCACATAATGTGGAAGACCGGAAGAAGTCTGACAGTCTGAAGCGTGCCACTGCCCTCTGATGCTAATCCTGACATCATGATGGGACCATTCAGAGACGTTTGATTACTTTCGTTTGGCAGGTGTCCTAAGCAACTTGCTTTGATTATTTTAGTGACCGGCTTAATGGTGATTGTCTCAGTAACTCTTCACATCTTTGTGGGATCTGTCTTTAACTGATTGGCCGCCATGACCCATTTCAATCCTGCCATGTAGGGGAATAGCTGAATTGATTGCCAAAGTATTTGAAAGTTAAAGCAAGTACTTGAACCGTTTAAAGTCAGCATGAACATTTGATGCATTTCCAATTGAAACTGGATATTCAATGAGAAATAATACTGGACAGGAGGACTCTTAATTTATTCATTGCAAATGTATTTGTCAAAACTTTGTGTTACATTCCAGAATAAAGCTGAGGTGTTGAAATATAAGAGTGCCTGATGATGTTGCAGTTTGAGAGGTGGAGCAGGCTAATAAAAAAAATATGAAAACTTTTTTTGAGTAATGTGAACCAGTGCATCATTCACAATAAGTCCAAGTCAATGCATTATTTTGGACTTTGCAGTCGATGCACGTTCATCTTCTTAATCTTTTTTTGAGTAATGTGCACTAATGTATCATGAATAATAAGTCTGAGAAGGTGAATGGGGTCCATTTTGGTTTCACCTTGACTTTTTGAACAATAGCTTTCTCTCTGATTTGGGCTGAACTAAAGTTGTGGTAAAGCTGTGCATAATTTTTCTTTGTAAAGTATACTGACCAGCTACCATAAATATCAGCAGTCTAGTGGAAATGCAGGAAAAGCTGGTGCTGGATGACTTAAGGACTGTCATAACTATATAGAAGTGGGTCTGGTTTTTACACATTTATTTTTTTTATCCATTTTCAAATGATTTAAAATTTCTTGAATATTAATTAAAATAAATAAAATTATATCGGCTTTATATCGGCCACCGGCCACCCTGCTTTCCAAGATATCGGTATCGGCTGTCAAAAAACACATATCGGTCGACCGCTAGATATAACACAGGCATCAGATGCCCTCCTGCTGTGATTATACATGCATGCACACACTGCTTCTTAAGTGTTCAAGTGATCGTACATGTCTTTATTTAAGAGGTTTATCCTGGTAAGTTTGTGTTGTATGTTCTAAATGCTGTTGTTCTCTCTCTAGGCATGTGGTCCCATACTATGACAGTGCAGGACTACCAAGATCTCATCGACAGAGGCTGGAGAAGGTGCTGATGTATCTTATTGTCTGACCTCTGAACTGCGTGTTTCTGCATAATGTCTTAGCAGGAAACACTTTTACACATGAACAGGATGCAGTAGTCTAGTCAGTGTAATGAGCTTAACACAGTGACCAAATCAGACATACTCCCTGAGCCGTACCTCTTACAACAAGACAAATGGGTTTTCGTGCACTTGACAGGCACACTGCCTGAGTTTCTCGAGAAATGTGATTCAAGTCAACACAAATCTCCATTTTAGACCCTTTTTCAAGATCAACTTGAGGGAATGTATATATTCAGCAAGAAAACAATGTTCATTTATCAGACACTTTTTTTCAAAGTGACTTACAAATAAGTTTGTCATAGAGCCAACAATTTTTATAGTGTACAATGCCAGGGGTAATTGAAACAAATTGATGAATTATAATTTATATAAAATATATGTTCATTTTTAATAAATGATTTATTACAAGAAGAACTATGAATTTTAATGTAGAGTTAGTAGTGAGCCCTGCATAAATGACCTGCTTTTATTCATCATTAATTATTGTTTTGTGCATGCCTAAATTTGAATTTTATTCTATTTAAATTAAATTGATCTCCTATTTTTTTTTTTAGAAGTGGCAAATATGTTTACAAGCCGTTAATGAATAAGACATGCTGCCCACAGTACACCATCAGGTAAATGATTCAAATGATTTTTTTGTTTTTTTTTTACTATATACAATAGGATACTCTGTGGTATATTAAAATTAATGTTGTAGTTAAATGTATTAAGTGACTTGAGTAATCATTTTAACTGTATATATTACAGCTCAGAAATGCTAAAAAAACAAAACAATGCAACATGTCAAATATGTTGTGTCCTTTTCACTTTCTTCATATATTAATATGTTGTTGTACTTGTTTTATGAAGGTGCCATGCTTTGAACTTCCATCCGTCGAAGACTCACAAAAAGACCTTGAAGAAGGTGAACAGGTTCCTCTCCAAAGGAGAGATGCCAGTAGAGAGACATGATGAGGGACTTGAAGGTGAGCGCCATTTACTGGATATCAGCTGCCGGTGCCAATTTAGGCCCAACATTCACTAAGAAATATCATAAACCATACGCAGTTCTAATGAAGCTGGATGATATGTTGGATGTTTATTTTGTCTGTGTTTTGGGAACTAATTTGAAAAAGCTCTTTCTAAAGGCTTGTTCACACCGGGACGAATATCGCACGCGATTATCGCCGACGTTTAACGCCTCGTGACTAAACAAAGGGCGCCAATGTGAGTGTGCACACCGACGCGCAAAACGCGAGGCGTAAAAGCGGCATTTTTAAAAAAACGCCTTGGGCTCGTTTTTTTGGTTTGACGCGCCACGTTAAAAACT